TTAATATGAACAAGAAAAAAAAACTGCATAGACATTAGTTTGTATCCTTTAAAACCGTTTCTAACCATCTTTGGAAATTTAAAGAAGCATGTATAGCAAATATGTCAACCACAGGCCAAAAAAGAGCGTGACTCTGCGGTTGACGATAACAGCGGCGTTACTTCCCGCTAATGCTGCCGAAGAGGTGATAAAAGACGGGATGACAGAGCCCGTTTTAGCTCGCCTTCTTTGTCTTATTCCATAGATATATTAGTCCGTTTTTTTTTATTTGTTTGTTTATCTAAATATTATTGAATTGGATCTAGTACAAGTGTATCTTGTTAGGAATTTTTATAGACAAGTATTTGACGAGAAACTTTCTTGCGTGCTGTATCTATTATAGGCCTATTTTGCTCTAAGCTACAGAAGATCATATATGAAACTAACATATGGAATATCAGTAATAAATCTGATAAACAGTGCCTAATACGTGCGGGACCAGATCAACAACACATGGTTTTAAAAAGCAGGAACATACTAAAACTAAACTCACTTACACTAACACGAGTCAAAATATGTGAAAAGACGTGTAGTTTGACAACGAGTTTTGTAGTATTCAGAGTTCCAGTGGACTTTGTTTGCTCAGTCTTGTAATTTCACATATGCAGTGAAGAGACAAACAGGAAACTCTTATGATTACAGAGTGATAAAACCAACACAGCATATTTCATTACACGTGGGTGCCAATAAGTCGCAGAGAACCTTGTCAAAATGGCCGATCAGTCGGTCTAAGCCTACCTTCTCTAAAATAGTAACTCTTTCCCAGATCTCACGAATTTTTGAAATGTAAGTCATACAGGTCACTAGATGTAATCCAGTAGTACTGAATTTGTGACTAAGTATGTACATATTATATATATATATATATATTAAATGTCTATAGAAATTTTGTTGTATACATTTACATTTTCTTATAAGATCTTGTATATTAGAGAAAATTTGTGATCCAAATGTATATCAAGATATAACTCTGATGGTTTTGTGATAAATATTTATGTATACAGACTGATTGCCTGTATCTGTGATACAACATTAGGGAGTTAAGTACGGGTATTGAGCAAACGAATTTTATTTTGTGACTATTTAAGTTGTCTTTCATTACTATCTTGGCAAGCAAGCAAGACTACCATTCGCACAGGCAGTTATGTCAGGTGTTAATTTTTTATTTTGTGATTATTTTGTAATTTCTGACGAGAGAACGAGGTAACGTATTTATATGTATGTAAATATAATATATATGACTTTCAACGTTATTGTGATCCGTATTTGTTGTCTTCTTCATTATTTCAAAGCGAATTTTATTTTTTATCGTATCCAAATCAGTGATATTTATTATACCAATAAAGATTATGTTATTTCTAGTATTTAATCCTTAAATATAGCAAAGAGTGTTCTAAAATGTACGGGTTTTTCCAGTGTGTGTGAGTTTCCACATGTGAAAGTCGAATGTGACGTGGCGTTGCAACTATATACCGAAATATCTAATCAAGAAAATTTCAAGTTTGCAGTGTGTAAGTTCTGTAATAGTGTCTTTCTAGGATAAATAAACTGATGGAAGAAAATATTAAGCTTTTCAATTGATGGTATGAATATTTATAATTAAAACAGACATACAAGCGTTCTGTGACAAAAAGGTTTGAGAAATTACTTGTCAATAAACACTTATTGTTAAGTGTTAATAAGGTAATAGTATATGTGGTTTTTATCCGGAATTATGAACTCTTCCAAATCGTTTTAGCTTGATTCAGCTAATTAATCAAACCAAAAAATACAAGTCTAGGTTGGAGCCTTGTGAGTGTTGACCTTCATTTTTTATATTAAAATCAATACTTCAGTTGTTGTATGTCACCACTAATGAAATGAAGACTAAAGTTTATGTATACAAATAAACAACTACTTAGTGTGTAGAGATGACATTTGGAGTTATTATAAACAGTCTTTATACATGGATTTTCACACATGTTATACATATATTCATTCAGAAAATAACAATGAAAACCGCGGGATACATGTAGAAATAGGTCAGAGAAAATACCTCGTTATTATAGTTACATTTATTGTCATTTTTTTCCATGAATAAAAACAAAAAAGAACAACAAAACACTATAGTTTTAGAAGGCTGGTGTCTTTGGAAGAGACACATATACATATTGAGAATATATTATTTATATAAGAAACAAATAAAAGATAATCATATTGAAAATTTATTATTTATATAAGAAACAAATAAAAAGGTAATCATATTGAAAATATATTATTTATATAATAGACAAAAAAGAGGATAATCATATTGAAAATATATTATTTATATAATAGACAAATAAGAGGATAATCATATTGAAAATGTATTATTTATATATAAAACAAATAAAAAGATAATCATATTGAAAATATATTTATATAATAGACAAATAATAGGATAAGCATATTGAAAATATATTATTTATATAATAGATAAATAATAGGATAAGCATATTGAAAATATATTATTTATATAATAGACAAATAAGAAGATAATCATATTGAAAATATATTATTTATATAATAGACAAATAAGAAGATAATCATATTGAAAATATATTATTTATAGCTCTTTTATTTT